ATGGGGCGGGAACCGGGTGGAGGGGAGCTATGGGGGGAAAAAAGAGGAACAACTGTAATAATCTGAACAATAAAGATTTAATTAAAAGAGTCCAGAGTAATTTTACTTAAAAATAAAACAAGCCCGGATGGCACGGCTCAGTGGTTGAGCGTTGGCCTATGAACCAGGAGGTCACTGGTTCAATTCCTGGCCAGGGCACATGCCCAGGTTGTGGGCTCGATCCCCAGTAGGAGGTGTGCAGGAGGCAGCCAATCAATGATTCTCTCTCATTGATGTTTCTATCTCTCACTTTCTCCCTTCCTCTCTGAAATCAATATAAATATTTAAAAATAAAAATAAATAAATAAAAATGAAACAAAAACAGAAAACAAACAAGTCCCAGAAATCATGTTTGGGATTCCAGGAAATCACAAATTATTCCCTACAAAAACACTGTTCACAATTTAAAAAGGAGGAAAAAAAAGGAGATCCTAAGGTGGGGGGAAAACCTTCTAAATATCCTATATACATAGTATTAAATCCTTACCATATTAATCTTTAAAAATACATATATTTTGCCCTAACCGGTTTGGCTCAGGGGATAGAGCGTCGGCCTTCGGACTCAAGGGTCCCAGGTTCAATTCCAGTCAAGGGCCTGTACCTTGTTTGTGGGCACATCCCCAGTGGGGCGTGTGCAGGAGGCAGCTGATCGATGTTTCTCTCTCATCAATGTTTCTAAGTTTCTATCCCTCTCCCTTCCTCTCTGTAAAAAATCAATAAAATATATTTAAAAAATAAAAAATAAAAATACATATATTTTATTGATCTCAAAGAGAGGAAGGGAGATGAAGAGAAAGATAGAGACATTAATAATGAGAATCATTGGTCAGCAACCTCTTGCACACCCCATAGTGGGGATAGAGCCCACATCCGGGAATTGAACCGTGGCCTCCTGGTTCAAAGATTGATGCTTAACCACTGAGCAACACTGGCAGGCTACCCCATTAATCTTTCCTCTTTTACATTTAAGGTAAGTCATAAGTCATAGATGGGCAGAAAGAAGAAACCAGGACTAACTAAATGTATTTAAACAGAAAGAAGTGGGGAACATCTTAACACCAATGTCCGTTCAAAATGAGGTTAATTGCAATGAGAATAGAGAAAAATGTACTGAAATCTAAAGCACAGATTCTAACTAGTGTATCCTGTTAACCTTCTGAACTTGTATGCAAAATTTCAGTTCAGAAATTCGTTTTCATCAGATTTTCAAAAAAGGTTTTAAGAACCACTGTTCTAGGATAATAGAAGCAAAATTCTCATGTAAACACAAAACAGGGAAAGATTCTAGGAAAAGTTATTACTATTTAAAATTATAAGCACCTCCTTCACCCACCTGAGCTCTGACCTTAGATCTGCTCTGCTGCACTCTGCTGGTACCAATTTCCACAACTTTGGAAAGTACTGATAACTGCCACAGAAAAAGGGCTCAGAGCCAGAAAGTCTATTTTTTTCCTACAGTTTTTCTAGATATTCTGGACTCACTCTTGTGTATATCTGAGAAATTATTCTTGCATATTCGCATATAGCTTTCTTTAGTCTTATTAATTATTATAATCAAATTCTCAAGATAATTCTGTAATTTGCAAAGCACAAAGTTATTAACCTCTGATTTAATCTTTCTGTCTATATAAGTGGCTAAACACTTGTCAGCAAGAGAACTTTTCAATTATCCATATTGGAAAGTCTGTTCATTTATCTGATTCAGTATGATTGTTAAAGGTCTCATGACCCACCTGAAACAAACATGCTTATCATTATATATCAATACTTCTACAAACTTATGAAATAAGCCCTAAATGACCACAGGCTACTAGGTAAATATGTAAATTTAAGAGCTGTTTTGTTAAATGTTCAAGGACAAATGTAAAATACATTATTTTCTAAAATGTAAAATCAGTTTCATATGACTGAAATGTTCATGTTATAACATACTACTAGCTATTATATACTGAATAAACTGACTATTTAAACCCAAAAGAGCCTCCATGTGTTTGAATGTTTTTGGTTGTTTTTACTGCAGTTGATTTCTAATTTCATTCCATTGTGAAACAATGAATGGGTTACCAATGAGATCAAGAAAGAAATCAAAAACTTCATGGAAACAAATGAAGATGAACACACAACAACCCAAAATCTCTGGGACACAGCAAAAGCAGTCCTGAGAGGGAAGTTCATAGCACTACAGGCCTACCTCAAAAAAAAAAACACAAGAAAAATCAACAATAAACTATGTAACCCTACAACTTAAAGAACTAGAAAGAGAACAACAAGAAAAGCCCAGAGTAAGTAGAAGGAAGGAAATAAAGATTAGAGCAGAAATAAATGATAGGGGCTAAAAAAACAATACAAAAAAAAAATCAATGAAACCAAGACCTTGTTCTTTGAAAGGACAAAAAAAATTGATGAACTGTTAGCCAGACTTATCAAGAAACAAAGAGAGAGGACCCAAATAAATAAAATCAGAAATGAAAGTGGAGAAGTAACCACTGACACCACAGAAATACAAAGGATTATAAGGAAATACTATGAACTACTATATGCCAACAAGCTGGACAATGTGGATGAAATGGACAAATTCTTATTATACCATGGAATACTGTGCACTAGTAAAAAAGAAGAATCTCTTATCCTTTTAGACAGCATAGAGGGACCTGGAGAGTATCATGCTAAGTGAAATAAGTCAGTCAGAGAAAGACAAGTATCACATGATCTCACTCGTATGTGGAATCTAAGTTACAAAATAAATTGATGAACGGAGTGGATCCAGAGACATGAAAGCATGGAACAGAATGCGGAAACTCCGTAGGCGGGGTGGAGGTGGAGTGGCGGGGTGGAGGGGTTAGGGGGGGGAGAGGGGGAGGGAAGGGGACAAAAAAATCCATAAATAATTTCCTACAGCACAAATACAAGCTATGCTTACACAAATCCCATTATTTACATATGAACCCTTTGGTGTCTCCTTTGTTCAGTCTTAAAATAAAAATAAAAGATAATAATATACATTTAGGTAATTACAATACAAATGTTAAGAACTACAGACAGTAGAATTCCACCATAACAGCTACTGTACTTAAATAATACAGATATGAATTTAAAACAAATCACATGTAGAAAAAGTCAGGTAAAAACATGCTCAGTTTACCAAAATATCAGTACACAGTACTTGCTTCTGGACACACGGTAGTTGCTAATAGGTCCTATTTCATGAAAACTAAGTCAATACTATTATCTAACATAGAGGAGAAATACTTGAATCTGAAATATAATTTATAACTATATTTCATATTATTTTCAGTTGCCTACAGAAGTAACTATTGATCATTTATTCCCCTCAAATCAAGAGTAATTAAAATAAAAACCCTTAAAGAACCCATTCCTTTAAGGAGAAAGGTCACCCACATAACTAGCCATGTCTATCAAATTTTAGAATACCCAAATTAGAAGATCAGTGTCTCTGTAATTGACCTCAAATTACAAAATAAATATTTTAAGTAAGTAAAATGCAGCAAAGAACGAGCAGCTTGGAAATTTTATAGTTTTTCAAATGTTAAGCTGACTGACCTGATTTAATTATCAGATATATCATAAATAAAAATATATTCAAATTAACAGAATAAGCTGCAACTTTTCTGGATACTCAAAGAAACTCAAGTTTTCATTATGTAGAATCTTATTTAAAATTCAAACCACAAGTCAAGAAATAGTAAAAAAATTCTTCCTAAGAGCAACGGGAAGGACCTTATTGAAACAAAATTTACAATGACTTTCTTTATTTTGAACATGTAAATATTCATTTGCTCCTTTTATACATTTTTTTTTTTGCTTGCTAAATTCTTTCAAGTTGGTTTTTTTACTTTCAATTCAAACAACTAAAAACCAGTCATGTATTCATAAAGTATGAATTTTTCATTTATTTTCAAGCACAGGGTTTCCAGTAGGAGGCGTGCAGGAGGCAGCCAATCAATGATGTTCCTCTCTCTCATTGATATTTCTCTCTCTAAAAATCAATAAAAACGTATATATTTTTTAAAAAGTACAGTTGGGGGGGTTAGAGAGCAACCAAAGGACTTGTATGCATGTATATTAGCATAACCAATGGACACAGACACTGGGGCAGTGGGGGCTTGCCCGGTAGGAATGGCTTGGGGGAGGAGGGTGTCAAACGGGGGGGGAAAAAGGAAACATCTGTAAAATTTTAGACAATAAATAAAAAAAATAAGAAAATAACCATTAAAAAAAAGTATAGTTGAGCCCTCAGCACACTGCAGCCACTTATACATGGATTTTTTTCAATAAATATGTACAATACTCTAAGTGTATTTTCTCTTATACTTCTTATACTCTCAATAACATTTTCTTTTCTCTAGCTTACTTGAATGTAAGAAGTATTGTATATAATACATGTAACATACAAAATGTGTTGATCAACTGTTGGTGTTATCAGTGAGGCTTCCAGTCAACAGCAGGCTACTACTATTAGTAAAGTTTAAGTTTTGGGGGGAGTCAAAAGTAGTACAGGAAATAGTAAATTTCCTAGGATGGTTCCATACTCCTAACCATGCCCCTTGTTCAAAGGTTAACTGTAGGACTTCTGAGTACTTCTGAGCCTGCATGCTTCTGGCGCCTTAACATGCCAAATGAGTCTGGTAACCTCTAATGAATGAGTGGCTGCTAACCTCTAACATAACTAAATCAATTAGGTCAATCAACTTCAAGTTTTTAAAACTATAAAACTTCCAAACTGCTGTGTAAAACAGGTTTCTGGTGTGTGGGTTTTTTGTTTTGTTTTTTTTTTGCGAGTTAACCCATGAATTTTTTAAAAGAGCTTCACAGACAAAATGAAAAGATACCTCATGTGCACACATAGTGCAGTGTCATGCGTAGCCTGACTCAGTTATGCCGCGCTGCCCACCCCTGCTCACCCCCGCCCCCGTTCCCGGCGCGTGTGTGCAGGAGGCTGACCTGGCTGAGACACCGCAGTGGCTGTAAACTGAGTGGCCCATGGCGGATTCTTCTGTCCTCCAAACTGAGCCATGACGAGAGCCGGGGGGAAACCTTCGCCCGCTTGTCTTCTATAGCAGCGATCTGTTAAGAAAGGATCCGCATTTTCAAGTTCAGCCAAACTACAAGGATCACACGAGAAATGCTGACTTTGTCAAGGGCATCCTCACGGTTCCACGTACAAACAACAAGGGGCAGGTGAAGGTCCGATATGCGGCAAAAAAAAAAATGTTCACATCAAGGCAGTTCATCAAAAGTATCCAACCTGGATCCACGGCGTCAGGGGCAGACTTACAAGAGGCGCTTCTTGCTGCGGCTACAAACTGTCACATTGAAACACAAGGCCATCTGCCGCGCTCTCCCCGGTCCTTACCAGTAAGAAGCGCACAGCTTTATGTTCAGAGGAAATAAATACAGGAGAGCCTGCATGCTTCCTTCGGCAAGGAGTCGGGGGTCCAAAGGGGTGATACCAATAACGGAAATTGGGAAGGCACCGAGTAAAAGTACCCAAGAATATAATTTAAATAACGAACATCTCCATGCTTTCTCCAATAGGTAAATTAGGGGTCCCTGTTCTCTCCCCTCCCTCGAGGGAAAAGACAGTTGAAATAACGGATGCCCTTTACAGAAGCATCGCGACCCCCCCCCCCCCCCCCCCCCCTACAAGCCAGAAAAGACGCAGATCGCAGCCCGCGCACCCTCTCCGCCTCCTCCCGCGACTCGCAGGAGCCAGAGCTCTGCCATCCATCTTCCTCCCCGGCTCCAGCTCCTCGCGGGCTTCAGACCAGGGAAGGCGGAACCCTGCGTCCCGGGAGACGGGCGAAGGACCCGCAGAGGAACAGAGAGCCCTGGTCCCCCGCATCCCCGGGCCGCTCGAAGAAAGTCTTCATCTCCCCCCACCCACGGCGCCCCGAGGGGTCCCAACGCCCCGGCCCCGAGAG